TCACCTTCTCCGACTGTCTTGAGCAACTCGGTTTTTTTTTCTACTCTTGCTTACTTATTGTCCCTCTTCCTCCACCACCTTCCCATGCCCAGCAAATTCAAATGGAGTGGGAGCTATGGCAGCTGCCAGGAGATGGAAAGGCAATGAAAGTGGGCAGGGCCCCCTGCAAGGGAGCCAGTCGGCTGCAGGTACAGGGGAGTTCAGAGGACGCGTGAGCAGGAGGCAGTCCGCCTCCCACGCCTGGATGGCCCAGACACGCTCTCCAAGGTTGGGACTCAGAAACCCACCACAGCAATGCCCTACGGCCCGGACCCCATCCTCCCAGACGTCCTCCTAGCCAGACACGCTGTCCTCCAAAGTCTCAGCGGTCCCAGGTGATCATGAGTGAAGCCCAGGTGTGCTCACTTCTAACTGCAGCGTCCGTTTTAAGGAAAATCTCCATTCCCCTGCTCGAAACCTCACAGCGCCAACATCGCACAGTCTGAGCACAAGTGAGCCATCTTGAAAAGGAGGGCAGCTGTGCGTGTGAACGAGCAAGGAGAAAATGAAACAGGAGCCCCAGCTTACACCCTCGGAGGAAGCTTCCAGTCACCTCACCTCCAAGCCAGGTGGGGTGACGTCATTTCCCAGCACTCGGGACTCATAGATGGTCACCGGTAGGCCTAGTTATCTGTTTAGTGAACGGTGCTGTGCAGGTGGCCTCAATGCGGAACAGACAGTGTCAAACAAACGCATTGACTCACTGACAAAGGAGAAGGAAGCTGGGAAGAGCCCCAGTCGTCGTGACCTGAGACGCCGAGGGCAGGCTCTGGAGGAACCATCCATGCACAGCTGCATCTACTATCTGCTATCTGGACAAACACAGAAGGTGTCCACCGGAACCAGTCCACTCAGATACAGGCGGCCCTCTGAGGAGGTTGGTTGGCGTTGGGCTTAGACTTCACAGGTTGTCCGGTGGTAATTCAGCATGAAGGCATGGCTGGCTCTGAGATGATTATCTCAGATTATCCCTTCACAAATGAAAATGTTTGCATACAAGGAATCTCAGAAATCTGTGTATTTCATGTTTGAAATGGTATGTAGACTATCGATGAATTTTTTTCTTGAATTATCTGGTTATTAAAATTGTTATTCTCATTTTGCTTATTATGTTTTTAAGGGATGATAACATTTCACCCTAGTGTTTCAGGGCTGACAGAGACTTAGAAGTCATCTAACTGCCCTCATCTTACAAATTTAAAAAGTGACATCCAAATTGATGAAGGGACTCCCTGAGTGACGCAGCAAGGTGGAAATGAAGTCCCTCCACTCTTGCCCGTACCCCATGCTTGTGTCTTCCAGGGCAGCGGTCCCCATCCTTTCTGGCCCCAGGGACCAGTTTCATGGAAGACAGCTTTTCCACGGTTTGGGGGTGGAGAGGATGTAATTCAAGTGCATTACATTTTTTGTGCACTTTATTTTTATTACTACATTGTAACATATGATGAAATAATTTTACAACTCACCATCATGTAGAACCAGTGGGAGCTTGTCTTTCTGCAACTAGATGTCCCATCTCGGGTGACGGGAGACAATGACAGATCATCAGGCATTAGATTCTCATAAGGAGCCGCAACCTAGATCCCTCCCATGCACCATTCTCAACAGGGTTCAAGCTCCTGTGAGAATCTGATGTGGCCGCTGATCTGACAGGAGGCAGAGCTCAGGTGGTCTTGTGAGCAATAGGGAGTGGCTGTAAATACGGAAGAAACTTTGCTCGCTTGCCTGCCGCCCCCTCCTGCTGTGTGGCCCAGTTCCTAACAGGCCACGAACCACTACGCATCAAGAAAAACTGGTTTCCTAAGAAACACAAAACTGTTGATCTTCACTTTCACTAGTGTAATTGATCTAAACTGTTTTAGAAGTACTGATAGAAGAAACAAACAGGACAATCATTAGTTTCCAAAACTTTCAGGAGTGACATATTTGTTGGATAATTGGATACCTGAATAAAAATAAAAAAATAGCAAAAGTTTCTAATTATTACCAGTATTACACAGCAGTTCCTATCATTCATTGAGTACCTAGTAGGTGCCAGTACTAACTTCTTTACATATATATATATATTTTTTTCTTCATTTCATCCTTAATGCAGCCATGTGAGATTAGCATTTGTGTGACTTTACAGCAGATGATATTCATGTGTAAGATTGAACATCTGTCCAAAGTCAGTCAATCAACAAGACCTGCCGTGGGCAACACAAGCTCCTCCTGGTCCGTACACACCGTGTCCTACTCCCACACTCTCTCCCAGCACCTTCTTACCCAGGCTCTGACTGCACCAAGAAGCTCCCTCATGGCCCTTGGTCCTCCTGGCCTCTCGTCTGTCTGATGATCTAGGCACCCTCCTCAGCTCACCTTCTTATCTCAGTCCCCGTCTGAACATGGCACTGGCTGTCTTCTGCTCCCTGCATCTCTAGCCTGCACCTCCTCTCCTCTGTCCTCCGCTTTGCACCCTGCCATTACCTATCCAACATGCATTTTAATTGCATTATTGAATGCTTAATAGAACTCGAATCACTCCCTGTTTTGTGGGTCAGAATCCAGAGTCCCATCATTCATCCATGAGGTTGATCTGACCCCACCTGATTCTCCACTCTAACCTCTACCCCCGGCCCAGCCCCGCTCCACACACTCTGTGCTCCAGCCTTCGGGGTTTGTGTGTGTTTCAGTTTTGTGAGCCTGTAGTGTTCTTATGTATGTTCATGTCTTTTGCAGATTGTTTTGATTGGGATGTATTGAAATGCTTTCTTTCCCTCCCAGACATCCTTTATGTGTCTGTGAAAGCTCATTAGCAGCCTCACCTCTTCCTGAAAGCCTTGCCAGCACCCGTGCATGCCTGCCCTCTGTGTACAGGACATAGAACCCTCTGCACATTTTCATCATGGGATTTCTCATGGTTCATCCATTCATTCCGCAAATGCCTGTTGAGTGTCTCTGACATGCCGGGTGTTTGGCACACACTGTACACAGAAGGGAGTGGTTCTAAAATGGTATTTCTGACTTGTCTAAGTCCCTTGTTAGAGCATAAAGCCTTTGTGTTAGGATCTGTGCCATTCATCTCTAAACTCCAGCATAGCCCAGGACCCAACATAGAGGAGTCGCCCAAATAGTAAACACTGGTTGGGGTCATGATTGAATGATGATTCACGATCCCAGATTCAAAGCCAAGCTAGTCAGGGTGTGCAGGACCCCCCGGCAGAACCACAGGCCAGTGAGAGAGGCCACACATCTCACCCTGCAGAAACATCTCACCCTGCAGAACAGTGGACCAGTGAGAGAGGCCACACATCTCACCCTGCAGAACGGTGGACCAGTGAGAGAGGCCACACATCTCACCCTTACAGAACCACAGGCCAGTGAGAGGCCACACATCTCACCCTACAGAACCACAGGCTATGAGAGAGGCCACACATCTCACCCTGCAGAACAGCGGACCAGTGAGAGAGGCCACACATCTCACCCTTACAGAACCACGGGCCAGTGAGAGAGGCTAATACATTCAATTCTACAGAACTGTGGGCCAGTGAGAGGCCACACATCTCACCCTGCAGAACCGTGACCAGTGAGAGAGAAGCTACACATCTCACTCCTGCAGAACTGTGGACCAGTGAGAGAGGCCACACATCTCAATTCTGCAGAACCACGGGCCAGTGAGAGAGGGGCCACACATCTCACTCCTGCAGAACCATCGGGCCAGTGAGAGAGAGGCCACACATCTCACCCTGCAGAACCGTGGGCCAGTGAGAGAGGCCACACATCTCACCCTGCAGAACCGCGGGCCAGTGAGAGAGGCCACACATCTCGTTCTGCATAAATGGAGTGTTTGCCTGTGGTAGTTTGCCTCTATGCCTTCCGTGTCACACCTATTTTTTTTTTTTTTTTTTTTAGTATATATATTATTTCTAGAACAAAAGTGAATTTGTAATGTGGCTTTGAAAATCGTTCTTTCTCAGTGAGAACACTTGGACACAGGGTGGGGAACATCACACGCCAGGGCCTGTCGTGGGGTGGGGGAAGGGGGGAGGGATAGCATTAGGAGATATACCTACTGTAAATGATGAGTTTATGGGTGCAGCACACCAACATAGCACATGTATACATATGTAACAAACCTGCATGTTGTGCACATGTACTCGAACTTAAAGTATAATAATTAAAAAAATAATAATAATAATTCTTTCTCAAGGAAAGACTGTGAGCTTCTGCTGTAAGGAAGGGTCTTGTCCAAGCCTGGGCCAATTTCAGCATGATTTAGTGGTGATTACCGCTAACACTGAAGTTGTTTTCTGAAATGCTGGCGTGGGACTAATAACATCTAAGACTGAGGAAGTTCTGCACAACTTTGAATGATGTAGTTGCTTTCATAATAACATTGACAAGCCCTATGGCTCATCTTGTTTCAGGAGGTTATCAAGTCTAAAGATATAATTTAATCCATAAAATATACAAATCCAAATATATCCAAAGCTCTTTCACGACATAGACATTTTTATATTTTACATAAATATGTATGTAAATATAATGGGATTAAAATAAATCTTGCTTCAGATGTATATTATACATAGTATATATTTGGTAAAATGTTTCATAAATTAAATTTGTATTGTCAATTGCATGTTATGTACGTTATGCAAACCAACCTCATGAATTTTCGTGGGATCTCTGGAATTGTAGGAATGAGGAACTAGGAGACTCGGACTAAATGTGAATGGTAACGAGACAAATGTGAGCTGTATTTATTCACACCATCACTTCATTAACAGATTCCAGCACACTTCGGGGGACATGTATGCTTATGTCTCTCTGGTGTTTGTGTGGATGACATTCATGATAAGCCTTTAAGTACCTTGATCAAGGCTCCCATTGGTCTGATTTTAAAAGACAGTAACACAGATCTTTTTTTTTTTTTCTCTCTCTCTCTCCCCTGCCTTCTCTCTTTTTTTTTTTTTTTTTATTAGTGTATATGGTTGTCCCTTGGCGAAAAAAAGAAAAACACAAGATAAACAGCCCCAGGAACCTGCTCCTAAACGAAAGCCATTTGCCGTGAAAGCAGACAGCTCCTCAGTGGACGAGTGTGATGACAGTGATGGGACTGAGGACATGGACGAGAAGGAGGAGGATGAGGGGGAGGAGTACTCCGAGGACAATGAAGAGCCAGGGGATGAGGACGAGGAGGATGAGGAGGGGGACCGGGAGGAGGAGGAGGAGATCGAGGAGGAGGATGAGGACGATGACGAGGATGGAGAAGATGTGGAGGATGAAGAAGAGGAAGAGGAGGAGGAGGAGGAGGAGGAAGAGGAGGAAGAAGAAAACGGTAATCTTTAAAATATTAGCAAAATAACAAGTCGTGATTTGGGTCCACTGTTCAAGGTGAATTGCCGGCTGTTACTATGAATGATTGGCATATAAAGAAATCATTCTGCTCGGTCAATACTAAGAAAATTAACCTCTTAGGTGAACTGAACACTTCCATTGAAGAATTCTTCAGATTCTCTGTTACACTTCAGATTTTATGTCAGTCTAATTTTTATTCAGGTTGGTTGTCAGTAATTTGCTGAGATATTTATGGTGTACCTTTCTGATTATCTTAACAAAATGTATCAAGGAGGTTAAGTTAGCAGACCTGGTCTTTAATTTTACATTTTCTTGAATGCTGTATCCATGAGATACAATGATTGGGCAAAACAGTGTTGTTGGAATGGCTTAGCCCAGGTACCTCCTTAGGGGAGTTGGAAGTCCTGCCTAACGACTGGTACATCAAGCAGCAAAGTGAGTTTTAACTGTCTGTAGATTGCCAAAGCTTTGCTTTAGTGATGGTCACGTAGCTGGGATGAAAGAAAGTACTATTGCTATCCGATAATCAATCAGCCCGTCATCGGCTTCCATATGTGAGAGCTGTGTTTCTGGTCTGGGGTTTCCGGTGCCCTGAGACATGTGGGGGAGAAGCCGCCATGCTAGGTGTTGGGGGTGTTCCCGGCAGTGCATTTACGGTGACGTGGTTTTCATATCCAGTGTTCTGTCACTATCTGACGCACAACACAACTTCAGAACTAACGCTTTCATAGAAGTCATTGCTTCTGAGGAAAGAGGTGGGAGTTTTGTGGTTGGTTTGTTTGCTTGCTTGTTCGTTTTTTTGCAAAGCCTAGCTATCATCTTTATTGGCTTAGGGTTTTCCTCATAGAAATGCCCAAACATGTTGAAAGTGAAGGGAATTTTCTTTCTTGCCCTTCTCCCTTGGGCTCAAAAGTTCTTCAAGAGTCTGATTTCCAGGAGAACTAATTTCTGGACACAAAGGGTGGTTGTTTGAGCCAGTGGGTCCATACATCAGGTCCCTCCGTACATCAGGTCCCTGCGTACATCAGGTCCCTCCATACATCAGGTCCCTCCGTACATCAGGTCCCCTCCATACATCAGGTCCCCTCCATACATCAGGCCCCTCCATACATCAGGTCCCTCCATACATCAGGTCCCCTCCATACATCAGGTCCCCTCCATACATCAGGTCCCTCCGTACCGTACATCAGGTCCCTCCATACATCAGGTGCCTCCATACATCAGGGAGATGTGAGTTGCTTGTTGCTAATCTCATGGGCAGGCTTAAATTACCACTCCTCCTTCAGAAGTCAGAGGAGTTTGTACTAGGAAACCTGAATTTTAGGAAATAATCCTAGATTGTTACAGTGGCTTAAGATTCTAATGCAAAGAATCCATCACTTGCATGTACATAAATACACAGGCACAGATAGACATATAGAAGATAGATATGTGTATGTACACATAGATGCATATGTACACACACATATATATACACATAGATGCATATGCACACACACATGCATTACGTAAATTAAAATTAGTCTCCTAAGATTTTTTGTCTGTCTGTGGTAGAATGCTGGGTGGAGAAGCCTATCAGAACCCATATCAACAGACTTACCATCATTGCTATTAAATCTACCTGGGACACGAGGCACCAGTGTCATTAATGAGATGGTAAGAATTAAAATGATAGATTTGTATAGTAAAATATTTGGAAAGTAGATCAACCTGGCAAATTATTTCTGAACACTGTATTAAGTGAGTGTGGTTTTGAGTGACCTCATTAATCGTGGAGGCTGATTAATGATTTGTAACTTGACCAGGACTTACCAGAAAGATGGTTACAGTGTGGCCGTTTCACTGTAACCATCACGGATTAAGATAGGAAATCTGTAAATAGGTATCGTTTACACCAGGGACCTTAACCAGGTTTTGCTCTCCATTTTCTAGAATTAAAAATTCAGTTTTAGTTTATGGTCAAATTTAAATATTTCTTTAAAAGTACAAAGTGATATACTTTGAAAGGCAGTCAGAAGCGTTATTGAAACAGTTTGAGAATGTGACTGCGTAGGGTTTGTTTATTCTGACTTGAACACTTAGGACATAATTGTTTTTAAAAGCCAGAAAGCAAACTAGAATTAAAGACATTTTTGCCAGAATAATGTGAGTAAATGGGCACCCAGTGGATGTGTGACAGCACCGCAAAGGAACAATGGCTGATTGGCCTCAGGACCTAGGATTTCTGACTCTGTGGCCAGACCTGGCATGGTGGCCACATCTCCAGGACTAGGATTTCTGACTCTGTGGCCAGACCTGGCATGGTGGCCACGTCTCAGGACCTAGGATTTCTGACTCTGTGGCCAGACCTGGCGTGGTGGCCACCTGGTGGCCACGTCTCAGGACCTAGGATTTCTGACTCTGTGGCCAGACCTGGCGTGGTGGCCACCTCTCAGGTGATCAGCAAATGCTGAGTCCAGAGCACGGAAGACAGGAGGTGCCAAAAGCAAACAGCTGTGAAGAGGTAGCAGGACCGTGAAAGAATTCATAGTCAATTGTGGGGTGTCTGGTTTCAGAATTCATGTTCAGCAGTTGGCTCCCCAAGGAAATAACTTCTATTATCACCTATGACATGACCTTTAAAGGAATCAAATGAACTACTCAGGAAGGGTGCAGCCATAGTGAGACGTTGTGAGATAACCTACCTACTAGCAGTGTGAGACAGGTGCACCCAGTTTACTGAGCATCCTGGCAGTAGAGCGTGATACTCCACTCCCTTTCAGAGAGCCTCTCATGAGAATCCCAGGTCCCAGGCAGCCACTTAGGACCAACAGCTTTGCATGCCCTGTGGGGACCTTCCACTAGGTTTCCATTGCCACAGCTTCTCTGGAGGGACACTGAAGGCTTGTTTGATTTCTAAGACAAACAAATGCATTTTTCCCAAGAATTAATCAACTGAGAGGCCTGATTCCTGGAGATACACTCACGAAGCCTTTCTCTCGGAGAAAGACGTCTCCGCTGGGGGAGCCCCACCTGGGTGTTTCAATACCACATTTAGCCAACGTCACCTGCAGGTTCTCCAGCTGGATGGAGTATCTTCTGGTCTCTCGTACCCCGTCAGGGTCAGAAATCTCCAAGCAGCTTCTGTATCAAAGGAACAGGATAACTCTGTTGACAGAGCAGTCATTTTACGTGATCAAACTCCTAGTTTAATGTATTGAAAGGAGGCTTTGAAAGGCGTACAACAGCCCATCTCCTGTTTGAATATTCTTGCTGTTGAGTACGTTATATTTTACCTTACTGTTAAATGTAGTGCCAAAATCACTATCAACAAATGTAAATGTCTGCCATGACAGCAGCACTTTTAATGTGAGATATGTAGCGTAAGTACAGGAGATTCCATACAGTGCCTACCAGAGATGTCCTTTTGTCCCTTCCAGAGGCTTGGCAGAAACCATGCATTCCCTAAAAGCTGGGGGGTCCCATTCTGTGTCTGAGTGCTGGAGCTCTGAGTCAGCATCTTGAGGCTGGCCTTTCGTGTTCCTTGGGTGACACTCACAGTGACTGCTATGTCCCTGGGCCAGCAACAGATTCCCCTGAAGTTGATTGTGCCCCTTTTCTAACACATAGCAGCACAGACCATGACCTGAGGTTAAGAGGAAGCCACGTGGTCAGAGCACGGAGCCTAGTGTGAGTGGCACAGGTGCCCATCTGACTGCAGAAACCAGGGCATCGTGATGGAGCTGCTGGGACAAGTTCACGCTGGCCTCAGCCTCGCGAGTAGAGAGAAAGTCCCAGGCGACTTATCCTGGCTGGATGCCATTATTTGTTCATCCAGTCGAGCATTTTCACTTCTATAATAAACTGAAATGTGGACTTTACTAAGAGGTTTTGTTTTAGATAAAACAAACGTATACAAACTCCCAGATTATTACAATAAGAACCCACAAGTTATAGAAGGACTATTATTTATAATTTAAGATTAAGTATTTATTTTAATTTCAAGGATCCTCCAGCATTGTTGTTTACATGAATCAAAATAGTACTAATAATGTAAGTTTCCAACAGGCATATTTAATCACGTTATTGAGTTTGATCTTCACATTGATTGCAGAAGATGTATAGGGCAGAAGCTCTTTTTCTCTCATCATACAAATTAGAAACTGAGGCTAATTAAGATGATATTATTTTCTGTAGGTGGTGGATAGATAATCAAACACTTTGCATGGTTTTCCTTGTAATGGAACTCATGTTCTCCTGATCACCTTCTGCTTATTTGACCAACAGGGGATAATACCTGAGAAACCCATTTCAGATTAAGTTCATATTTAATTAAGCAAAGTTATATTTATTATACAGTAGACCTAACATAGGCTGGTGTTTTGCGTGAAGAATTTTGTTTTTAGAATACATCATTACAGACTAAGTTCACACTAATTAAAAATCCCCTTGTTATGCTAAAGTTAAGAAAGTTATTGTTCAATGGTCATAGATGTTTCTATTATCAGATCTTTTTATGTTATGATATTTTTTGGATTCCTGTGATTTGAGAAATATATCGTAAATAGATACATAATACCTAGCAAGGTATGGTTTGTATTCATAATCCAGTCCACTAAAATATCTCTAAATCAATGTATACACACACATACGTACATTTTTTATAGCAGACATTGCATCTTCCCATAGACAGGAATCACATTTCATGAGGAAGAGCCTAGAAATGTGCTTTCTAGACTAAAGAAAGCTTCCGTGTGTGCAGCTGCCTGTAGCACATAGATGTTGCTTTAAATGCTCTGTTTCTGGAATACCTTGGAGAATATATGAGGTTCTTTCTTCACTACTCTTTACTGAATCTCAGGGCTGCCTTGCCACTCGATCACGAGGTTAAATCAGGTGACATGCAGGTTAAATTGGGTGAAATGCAGACGTCTTCCTTTTCTACAGTCTTCCTGGCTTCCTGTATCACGTTCTCTAGATCAGTGACCCAAAGGTGTGCCATGGCGTCCTGGGCTGCTGGTGTCTGAGGAGGAGGGGCTGCTTGAGAGGAAATCTGTTTGGTTATGTTAAGGCCTTTTCAGTGTGTGATCTGATGGCCACAGACGTTAGGGCCTTCTCGACATGCGATATGATGGCCGCGGCTGCTCTGGGCAGGGCATGGAGGCCGCCCTGAGGCAGGGTCGGTGTAGGGGTCCGGGGAGTCGAACAGGAAGGAGGCAGGGGCTGCTTTTGTTGGAGGAGTGTGCCGTGACTCTTTGGCCAGCCGTGGAATCAGCATGGCCAGTAATCCGTGCCTGTTCCGTTCTAATATCAGGCTCTGTCCTCATTGTAAATCGGTCCTGTGCATGGGACAATTTTCTGACGGGGCGTTTCCACTCCCCACCTCCTTTTTTAAAGGGAATTCAAGACAGAATTCATGCTATATAAATTCATTCTCACAGAAACATTTCTTTTTTCATGGTAAAATTCCCAGGGTGTGTTTTCTTTCAAACAGGATGAGGTGCTAGGCCCCAAGTTGCTAGAGCATCCTGATAATAAGCGGAAGACAATTTCCATAGGCTTGAGTTTTCATAGGAGGACAGCGTGAAGGGGTGAGGGAGTGAGGGTGTGTGGCCTCTGAACTCCCCAGCTTCCCTGCAGGATGCCGTTCTCCATACTGATTAGCCAATTATCCTCTCCTGTCTTTCTCAGGGAAATATCCCTGATGAGGAAAGCAAGTTGAAACGCAGACAGACTGTGAAAAGCAGAATTAGCCAACCAGTTTTCACTGCAGTCAGCAGAAAAGGCAGTGAGCTCTGAGACCAACATAGAAACAAAGATCATATGTTTAGTGTGTGAGGCTTCAGCCAGAGGAAGACTGTGAACACAGTTGGGAGAAAGAATGTGATGATTTGTTATCATCTTAAAAACTAACCTTTCCCTGCATCCACAGAGGCGTTTTTTTAGGACATGGTATAAGCAGCTACGTTGAAGTACATGGCACCGCGTCTTGGGAATGAGTAATCATAGAATTAGACATTTTTAGCTGTCAATATATGATTTTAAAAAACTAAACTCTCTTCATGCAAACTGTGCAAAATTATAGAAATATAGTTTTATCCTACATTTCATAAACCTTCAGGTACTTTGATACAAAGCAGAAATCTGGCTGCGAATATCATGCCACTTCTGATGCAGGTAGAGGCCAGGCATGGTGGCTCATGCCTGTAATCCCAGCACTTTGGGAGGCCAAGGGGGACAGATCACCTGAGGTCAGGAGTTTGAGACCAGCTTGGCTAACAGGGCAAAACCCCGTCTGAAAATACAAAAATTAGCCAGTTGTGGTGGCACATGCCTGTAATCCCAGCTACTCGGGAGGCTGAGGCGGAAGAATTGCTTGAACCCAGGAGGCAGAGGTTGCAGTGAGCTGAGATCGCAGCATTGCACTCCAGCCTGGGCGACAAGAGCGAAACTCCATCTAAAAAAACAAAACAAAACAAAAAAAGATGCAGGTGGATGCATAAAGTCCTGGGGAAATTCCTTTTAAAACAGAAAATGTAAGACAGTGAGGTCGAATATGTTTCTGTTCAATGTGCTTATAAGGGCCACACTAAGAAAATAACAGTTTATCTGCTATGCCTTGTGAATTTAGGTTTCACTGCAAGTTCTAGTTTATCCACGGGTAGATGGAGTTGAGGAATCAGCTCTGGCTGTACCACGTGTCCTAAGCAAGTCACCTAGCCTCACTGGACCTCAGTTTCACTTAAGATTAGGATAATAGTATGTGCCCTTCATTCACTTTACTGTCTTGTTTTGAAGCTTAAAGAGGTTGCAGAATATGAAAAAAATTGAGAGATGTGAAGCAGTTCAGAACCATAACATCACAATTGTGATTAAGGACAACTTCAGCATGATATTACGCTCCCACGCATTTATTCACCCTCTTCTGTAACCCTGAACCTAACGTCCATGACCCCCTCCCCACACGCAGCAAGTGTATCATGTATATTAAGGCTGCAAGAGTTTAAAAGATTCTGAATATCATGACAGCTCATTTCAAAACACGGTATGTATTTTTTCCTCTGTACTCAGAAGGGCACTGGGTTGCTTATGGACAGAAAACTAAACAGAGTCACCATTTTCCAGAAGAAATACATAATACAATATGGAAGAGGCATGTATGTAAAAAATACAAAGCATGGTTCTTTACAGGGGGCAGAATTAGAAGTCATAAACTGAGGTGGAGGCTTTAAGGATTTGATTTGAAAATAAGAACATACATTTCTGAATATTGAGGCTCACTAAACTTTAGATTGTTAAGAAAAGTGGTCGTGCTGTCTCTGCAAGCTCTGCAGAAACAGATCAGTCTTCTCTCTGACACGGATGAAATGTGGAATACCAGAGACAAAGAAAAGGAGCCCTGAGGTCCTCTCACGTTCCTCCCAATCGAGTACATTTATGTGAGCAGCCACCTGTGTCTCATACCCATTCTGGAAAACAGAAGAACCAGAATTTTCACAGCCTTATCTCTACTCCCTGGGTTCCTAGCACTGACAATAAAAGCAATCACTCTGGGGACAAGGAGTCGTCACTGTCGTCCAGCTGATCCAGAAAGTCTTTGTGCCTGTGTGTGTGCGTGTGTGCGTGTGCGTGCGTGTGTGCATGTGCGTGTGTGCATGTGCGTGTGTGCATGTGTGTGTGCATGTGTGTGCATGTGTGTGTGTGCGTGTCGTGCGTGTGTGTGCGTGTGTGTGCGTGTGCATGTCGTGCGTGTGTGCCTGTGGGTGCGTGGGTGTGTGTGTGTGCCTGTGGGTGCGTGTGTGTTCGTGCGTGTGTGGGCGCGTGTGTGCACGTGCGTGCGTGTGTATGCGTGTGTGCGCGCGTGTGCCTGTGTGTGCGTGTGTGTGTGTGCATGAGAGGGAGGGAGAGAGACAGTGAGAGACAATGAGAGAGACAGAATGAGATAGAGACAGAGCCAGTGGTGTAATTGGTTTGAATGTTTCAGTCTGTCTCTATCTGAGTAGCTGTTGATTCTAAACAGCACATTCTCTGGGTAGAAGAATAGACTATCTTATTATTTAATGTCTTAATTTATGTAAGCCAGATACCTAAAATGTCATCAAATAAAAAGACCTTCAAAGTTTTATAAATAAATGAGACTTCATGCATTCACCTTTTAGCTCATAGAAAGGACAACATTGAAATCACTGTAGCACGCAAGAACATGAAAGCACAGTCCCACATGCGTGCTGCTCTGCTGGTGGGCAGTTTATAGAAAATACATGTCATTCTTCGGAAGAATTCAGAAAATAAGTTTTGTTCACTGTTCAAAGTGAAGCAACATTAACAACTTAAAGCCAAGGCATCCTCACTCCTCAGCATTTTTTTCTGGCCCAAGTTATGTTTTCTTCAGCCTACGTGGTCTTTCTTCCACTTTGGGGCTGGAATCTGTGCTGGCTGAACTTCCTCCGAGTGGAAACAGGGATGCCCAGGGACCAGGTCTTCTCTATCACCTGGGAACCCTGGGGTACTTTCCGCGGCTCTCTGAACTCTCACCTGGGTTCTCTGTGAAAGGGTCTTGTCAGCCCAGCAGGGGCTTGTGGAAGCTGCCTTGTCCATCGGACCAACATGATTTGGATTCCTAGGTGTATGTCGTAGCCACATGACCTTGAACTCCTCCTCAGATCCATCCCTTCATCCACAAGATGATGAGAGCGGTGTGAGGCGTGAAGAACGTGTCGCTCAGAGGTCCTCCATGGGCCTCCAGGGAGTATCCCAGGCACACTGACATAGCCGGCGTGGCTTCCGCCTGCTGACACTTTTGTTCTCCTTTAGAGAGGAGGTTGGCCCCGGCTTCCCTGGCTTCAGCAGAAGGCATTCAGGGTGCTGTCTTGATGCCATGTTGGTGTATCCCAGCCCCAACCTCACAGCCCTCCCTCCACCTGCCCCTCCAGCACACTCTACCAGCACGTGGCTCCACTGCTTCTGGAGCTTCAGGCACACAACCCTGGGCCTTGGCACCCTCTCTCTCCTCCCCCAGAACACTCTCCCTGGCACAGCTCACTTTCCCACCTCTTCAGATCTCTGCTCAAGTGGCACCTTCTCAATGAGGACTTGCCCGACCCCCCATCCCACGTACTGTCCATTGTCTTTTGATTTTGCTGCATTTTTCGTGGAACATACGTCACTATCTGACATCATAGTATTTATTTACTCTCTATTTTAATCTCTTTCACCAACTGCAGTGGAACAGCCATGACTACAAGGATGCTGTCTCTTTGGTTCATTGTTCATCTCTAAGTGTGACAATAAACAGCTGCTAAATGAATAGCTATTATTCTGTTAGTTCCCTCCTTCTCCCCCCACTGCCATGCCCAGCAGAACTTGCTTGTACAGAATTGTGATAATTACATTTCTCTTGGATCTGATGAAAGGGTTGTGCTACATCGTCCTCTCCAAAGATTTTGCCGTTTTCAGTTTGATGAGAGTATCTAAGCACCTCAGTATCTCACCCAGGTAAACACATGGCTCATGAAATTTCATAAATGCCTCCTATCTTAAATAGACATTTTCCTCCATGCCTCAATTTCCTGCGTAGGATCATTCTTCTAAGAGATGTGTTGTTGCAGCTTAATCAGCTATGTGGGATCTTCCAAAATCTGAGTCAGTGCCTCTCTAGGGCTGCTATCACCTTACCCCGTCAGTGGCTGTGGGAGTGTGGGCAGTGTCTGGCCTGCATGCTTCCTTTCAGTCGTCAAGAAGGCTTTCGGGCAGTGACAGGGACCAAGATGTCTTTAGAAATACGTGACTTAGTGGGGCATCCTCACGCATGCGTGAAGGGCAGACAGGCGCCTTCCTAGGTTCCCTGAGCCCTGCAATGAGGGCGTGGACAGGAGTGAGGTGATACACGCTCCTTTCCTGGAGTTGAGGAAGGCATTGCCCCTGCTGCAGAGAGTAGATTGAGGTACAGAGACAGAAAGCAAAAGACAGCAGCCGATGCAAAGGCACAGGGAAACAAACCTCAGTCCAGAGAATCCTTTCCATTGGTGGATAAGTAGGTCGAGCTGCTGGACGCGCAGACATTTATGGTAACGAGACGGAGGCCCAGAAATAACCATAGAGAGAACAACACATGCAAAATGGCTGGGAGTGTATTTTGGGTAATTTGCATATAATGCACCAAAACCAGCTCCCCAGTAATTAGCGCCGAAGAGAACAAAGAAGCGACCACACAGACCCTGCAAGGCCCAGCAGACTTGGGCTCACTGAGGGTGGAGGAAGTGCCCGCGTGGCTCTGTGAGGTATTCGAAGTACGTGCGAGGCATCCTGCCCGGCACTGGGCACTGGTATCAACCTCTCCAGGTGTGTCTGCTTCTTCGTCTGCCACGGCAGATGAGGAGCAGAGGGAAGCCCCAAGCTGGGAGGCAAGATTTCCCCCAGGCCGGCCCCGCCCTTCTCCTCTATAAGGGGTGAGTGGCGAGACGCTGTCTCAGCAGGGTATTTGCAGACAGGACCATGGACCTGCACAATCTCCAAAAGTGAGAAAAAACAGTGGCAAAGTGCAGCACATAAACCACAGGTCCTCCGGCCGCTCTAGTGAGTGTATGCGGTGCAGGAAGATGGTGACTAAGATGTAGTATTTCTACTTTTCCTTGTTTAAAAAAAAAATCCTGGGGAATTGTACTTGTGACCTGGGTGAAAACTAATGTGTACAGCAAACCCCTGCAGCATGAGTTTACCTATGAAACAAACCTGCACACGGACCCTCGAGCCTAAAAGTTTAAAAACATGCCGATCAATCCTAAATATTTTTATAAGCAATAGGGAAATCATATTCCAGACAGCATTCATTTTAAACAACTCTTAAGAGCAACTTTGAGTATTTTATCAGTATCTGAAAGCAAAATTCAGATACCTCGTCTCCTATACTCACAGCTCCCAGCAGCCCGGCGCTGAGCCCTCCCTGTGCCCAGCAGCCCCGACGCTTCTGCCCGTAGGACGTGGGTGAGGCGTGTTGCTATCACGGAGGATCTGATGTGGGTACCTCACCAGCACTCGAAGCTTTGTGATTGCAGGGAGATGGTTATGGTAGGAAAACACCCTGTGGTTTAGAAGAGAAAGAAAAAAGGAGATCAAGGTAGAATCAGATTGTGTCTGCATCTATTGAACAAAAGAGGCAAATGAGTTATCAGAGAAGAGAGGGCCCCACAGGGACCACGGGGTGCCTTGAGAGGCAGGTGTGCTGCTCTGCTCCGAGAGGACATGCCACTC